AATTGCAGAATTGCATCTTTTTTTAATGGTTTCAGTTCTAAAGTACAACCTTCCTTTGATCTTACAACCCCAAGTCCGAAATATTTGGGACGAAGTGTAAATTGTGAATAAATTCAAAATGCAATGACTTTCAGATCACATGAGCCAATATGTTATTTACAATGAAACATAGATAACATTTCAAATGTTGAAACTGAGACATTTAACATTTTATCCACGAAATGAGCTAATTTCAAATTTTCTGGCTGCAACAGGTCTCAAAAAAGTTGGGATACAGGCATAAAAGAGCTGAAAAAGCAATTAATATATAAGAGAATCAGCTGAAAGAACATTTGGCAAGTAATTAAGTTAACTGGCATCAGGTGTGTAACATGATTGGCCATAAAAGGGGTGTCTTAGAGAAGCTGAGTCTCTCAGAAGTAAAGATGGCCAGAAGCTCTCCAACCTGTGAAGGCTTGCGTAAAAAATTGTGGAATACTTTAAAAACAATGTTCCTCAACGTCAAATTGCAAAGGCTTTGAAGGTCTCATCATCGACAGTGCATAACATCATCAAAAGATTCAGAGAAACTGGAAAAATCTCTGTGCATAAGAGACAAGGCCGAAGACCTTTACTGGATGCCCGTGATCTTCGGGCCCTCAGATGCCACTGCATCACTCACCGGCATGGTTTGGTCATTGACATTACTAAATGGGCCCAGGAATACTTCAAGAAACTACTGTCTGTAAACACAGTCCGCCGTGCCATCCACAGATGCCACCTAAAAATCCATCATGCAAAAAGTAAGTCATTGTTGAGCATGATCCAGAAGCGCCTGTGGGCCAAGGCTCATTTAAAATGGACTGTAGCAAAGTGGCAAAGTGTCCTGTGGTCAGACAAATCCAAATTTGACATTCTTGTTGGAAATCATGGGCGTTGTGTCCTCCGGGCTAAAGAGGAGAAAGACCACCCCTCCTGTTATCAGCGTTCAGTTCAAAAGCCAGCATCTCTGATGGTATGGGGATGCATTAGTGCATATGGTGTGGGACACTAGCATGTTTTAAAAAGCACCATGAATGCTGAAAGGTATATGAAGGTCTTAGAGCAACATATGCTCCCCTCCAGATGACATCTATTCCAGGGAAGGCCTTGTGTATTTCAGCAGGACAATGCAAAACCACATACTGCAGCTATTACAACAGCATGTCTTCGTAGTAGAAGAGTCCTTGGGCTGAACTGGCCTGCCTGCAGTCCTGATCTTTCACCGATTGAGAACATTTGGCGCATAATTAAACGAAAAGTCCGTCAAAGGAGACCCAAAACTCTCCAGCAGCTGAAAGCCTGAATTAAACAAGAGTGGGATCAAATTACAATGGTTAAATTCAAGAAACTTGTCTCCTCAATGCCCAGACGCCTCCTCTCTGTATTAAAAAGAAGAGGGGATGCTACACCATGGTAAACAGGCCCCTGTCCCAACTTTATTGACACCTGTAGCAGCCATCAAATTTGAAATGAGCTCATTTTGTGGATAAAATTGTAAAATTTCTCAGTTTCAACATTTGCTATGTTATCTCTGTTCTATTGTGAATAAAATACTGGCTGGTGTGATTTGAAAGTCATTGCGTTTTGATTTTATTCACAATTTACACTTTGTCCCAACTATTTCGGAATTGGGGTTGTAATACAGCAAGTAATTCATTGTACAGGAAATGAGTTCTTTACTTTTGAAAACAATATGAAAACATTTTCAAAGCCAACTATTGCCTACCTTTCACTTCGTTATGAAGATGAAAGAGTTATCCATGACAGTCGTACCGTTTGCCTGTTGTATCAAGAGGTTCCACTGTCTGGAATGTTTTTCTTCAAACTGTGATTTCACATTAGATATGTCAGAACTCCAGAAAATGCTCTTATTATCATGTAGATGACAAGGTACATAATTGTTGCACCAGGACAGTGCCACAGATGTTTGAAAGGCTGGTTTTTTTTTTCTCATACTGGGTGCAGACCTCTTAAAATTTGTCATTTTCGAAAAGTGCATTCCTCCAAGTCTTTTACTATAACAACCTGAAACCCAATATTTTTATTCCTGTGACTATTCCACTCAAATTAAATCGTGGAATATTTTGAAATACTGTGGAAAATTTAAAGAGTCAGTGTCCAACCACGTGTTTCTTTCACCCATGAACTCAGCCAGTTGATTTCACTTCTCAATTCCACCTCTTGGCTGAGGAATTGCGCTAGTTAGCAAATCCAGGAGTTTAGAACATGATTACGAGGAGAAATGACTCTTTCTAAAATTCTTCGGAGCCGGACCAGTCCATCTCCTGAGCCGGATTGTCAGGGGAGCCCGAGTGGTCGGAGTCCGTGTCGACTGATTGCTCCTCAACCGGAGAATCCCCCACAGGGAGATCAGGCCGGGAAGAGGTGCAGGCCGGCGGGCGGGGATTCCCCGAAGGCACTGTGGTGCTGGAGGGCTGGTCAGGATGGCGACAGTGGAAGCCGGTGATGAGGTCCGGGTCGAGGATGTGGCGAGCAGGAACCCTAGACCTCTCCTCAGGACCTTAGCCCTCCCAGTCCACTAAGTTCTGGAGTCCCCTCCCATGACGACGGGTCCGGACCAGGCGCCGCACGGAGTAAGCAGGAACCCCGTCAATCAGGTTAGGAGGAGGTGGGACAGCCGGCGACAGAGGACTCTTGTGGACTGGCTTCACCTTGGACACATGGAAGGTGGGGTGGACACGCATGGAGTGAGGAAGCGTGAGTCTCACTGCCGTCGGACTGATGACCCTCTGGATGGGGAATGGGCCAACACACCTGGGTGCCAGCTTCTTAGACTCCACGTGTAGAGGCAGATCTCGGTTGGAGAGCCACACCTTCTGGCCAACCTGGTAGACTGGGGCAGGAGAGTGCCGCCGGTTGGCCGAGGTGGCATAGCGCCCAACGGCGTGCTGGAGGGCAGAGTGAGCCTGGGCCCAGGTTCGGTGACAGCGGCGGACAAGGGCTAGGGCTGACAGGCAGGAAACCTCTCTCTCCAAGGCTGGGAAAAGTGGAGGCTGATAGCCAAAGACGCACTGGAATAGAGATAGGCCTGTGATGGAGCTGGTGAGGGAATTGTGGGCGTACTCCACCCACAGGAGTTGCTTGGACCAGGAGGATGGGTTCTGGGACACTATGCAGCGAAGGGCAGTCTCCATCTCCTGGTTCATTTGCTCCGTCTGCCCATTGGATTGGGGGTGGAATCCAGAAGAGAGACTGGCGGTGGCTCCCATCACGCTACAGAACTCCTTCCAAAAGCCTGAGGAGAACAGAGGACTCTGGTTGGACACCATATCCACGGGGAGGCCATGCAGATGGAAGACGTGTAGCAGGACCAGTTGCGGAGTCTCGTTAGCTGATGGCAGCTTGGGTAAAGGGACGAAGTGAGCCATCTTGCTGACGCGGTCGACCACCGTGAGGATGACTGTGTTACCGTCAGAGGGTGGAAGGCCCATGACAAAGTCCAAGGAGATGTGGGACTAAGGTCGATGTGGGACAGGAAGTTGGAGGAGTCCAGCAGGAGCCTGATGAGAAGCCTTGTGCTGATTGCGGATGGGGCATGCCTTAACAAAGTTGCGGGTGTCTTCCTCCAGGGTGGGCCTCCAGAAGCCTTGGAGGAGGACGTCTTGGGTTCGCTGGGAACCAGGACGGCAGGTGAGCTTGGAGGCGTGGGCCCACTGCAGAACCTCCGACCCCAGGGCTTCAGGGATGTACAGACAGTTGGGGGGACAGGCGCTGGGACCAGGTTGACCCTCAGTGATGGCCCTCACTCGCTCCTCAATGTCCCAGGACAGGACGGCTAAGACACGGGGGAGGGAAGGATGGAAGCAGGCCCCTCGGCGGAATCTTCCGCCTTCAGGAACTGGCGGGACAGGGCATCAGGCTTGGTTTTGTGGGACCCCGGGCGGTAGGAGAGAGTGAAGTTGAAATGGGTGAAGAAGATGGACCAGCGGGCCTGGCCTTTCGTCCCCCTCTCTGATGCAGACCAGATGATAGGCATTACGGAGATTGAGCTTGGTGAAGATGGTGGCCCCCTGAAGCAGTTCGAAGGCGGAAGAGATGAGTGGCAGGGGATAGTGGTTCTTGACTGTGATAGTCCCCGATAGTCAATGGAGGGTCTCAAGGTCTTATCCTTCTTTTCCACGAAGAAGAAGCCCGCCCCAGCAAGAAACGAGGAGGGGCGGATGATGCCTGCAGCTAGGGATTCGTTGATGTAAGTCTCCATGACCTACCTTTCAGGGGCAGACAGAGACAGAGGCAGACAGAGAGCACAGGCGGCCTTTAGGGGGCGAGGTGCAGGGCAGGAGGTCTAAATCGGACTGTTCCCTTGTTTCAGGTTCAGTAGCCCCTGAGCAGCCTTGGAGCCGGAGACCCCCAAGCTGTAGACATTCCATAGCTTCTCGGTGAAGGACTGGAAGGAGACTCAGGCTGGAGACTGTCTCTCCCACTCAGCGGTGCCCCACAGGCGAGCCTGGCCCATCAGGTGGTTGAACGTGAAGGCCACCTTTGATTCGGAGCCGGCGGGGCTGGAGGGAGAACAGCAGGGAACAGTTCATCAGGAAAGGGCCACAGGTCTCTGGGTCTCCGTCGTACTGCTCAGGGGTTCCCACTCGAGGTTTTGGGGCCCCAGTGGCTAGGAGGGGCAGCAGGCTGAGCCACCATGGAGCTGCTTAACTTGGCTGGCTAATGCAGTGAGGGAATGCCTGGTCTCCGAGGCGGCTGCTGACATCATTGCCTCATGGTGTTGGAGGACAGCTTGGATCTTCTTGAGTCGGCTCAGGGGAGTGGGATTGTGTGCTGGGTCCATGACTGGCCAGATTGTACTGTCACGGTGAGTGGCAGGACCCAAATGCAACTCAATCAACACTTTTAATGATCTCTGAGCAGGGGTCAATAGAATGCAGAGCAGGGTAGATTGGTGCAGATCAGGATCAGGAACTTGTGGATCGTAAGTTGAGTTCTGTCGGGGACTCGAGGGAGCAGGCCCCAATGGCGGGATTCGAACCCGGGTCGTCCACACGGCAGGCGGGGAAGTTACCACTGGGCCACCGGGGCAGGCTGGCTTGAGGCTCGGCAGACTGGATTGTGTCCATGCAGGCAAGAACCAGGAAGCACATAAGCTGAACTCGGAGTCAGAGGCAGAAGGCTATCAGGTTTACCAGGGCAGGAACGAGAGGACGTTGTCTGAGGCAGGCAGAGTCGATTCCAGGAAGTCAGACCGAAGACAAAGGCTGGAGAGTTGTGCATGCTGCAACGACAATCTGGCAATGCGTGAGTGAAACAGAGCTACTTAAATGCTGGCTGGGTAATAAGACTCAGCTGAGAAGAATTGCAGTACAAGGGGTGTGGCCAAGCAGAGGGAGAGACGGCAGCAGCAGAGCAGACTGTGACACTAACAAATTATTAGTTTAAGGGACTGTGCGTTTGTAGAATGCAGCAAATTTACCTAAGTACACAATCAATAGGTTCCAAAATGCTTAAACCATGGACAAGCAGTTCAAGGTCAAGGTAGTCTTTGTTGTCCCCAAGGGGCAATTTGTGGTACAGCCAGCATTAAAAAACAAGACATGGCACAGAACAATTCACACATCATAAAACATGAACAAAAATAAAGAAAGTGACAACATGTTCTAAAGTAATCTCTAAAGTGCATTAAAAGTCATTTCAGCTTGTGTAAGAACGAGATGGCAGTGGGGACAAATGAATTTCTCAGTCTGTTGGATCTGCATCTTGGCATGGAGTACCTTTGTCCCAAGGGAAGTAGTTTAAAATGACCGGCAAGGGGGTGGCTAAGGTCAGCAGCAATAGATTGGGCCTTAGTCATAGTTCTAATGTTAAAATGGGAGAGGTCAGGGAAGTTTAAGCCTGCAATCTTGCTGCAAATGTGAACAATCTTCTCCAATCTTTTCTCTTTTTTTTTTTTTTTTTTAAATTTGGCATCTCCGATCCCACCCGAATCTGGAATGCCCAATTGGTGAACTATGTACAAGGCTTGCTCGTATGCGACCCTTTGCTGCCAATTCAGGAGAGTGTAGACAGTTTGTGGCTCTCCTCAAAAGCACGCGCCTGCCAGCCACCGCTTCTTATACACTCATTGGTTGAATCTTCGCAAGTTCAAAACAAGGGCGGAGGATACCTGAACATGAACAGACTTAGAATCTTCCTGGCGAGCGCCCGTCTGGCCAACAGGAGGCGCTTGAGCAATGAACAAGGCAACTATTATTTTCCCTTCCCGGCAGTCCCTTCCCAATTTGCAACCCTGTAGCGCAATAGCCAATTGTGCACTACTTTGAAAAAGCTGCCAACCACTGCCGGCTGGTACGAAGCGGGGATCGAACCCGCGACGTGAATGTCACTTCTGCTTCGCAACGCTTTACCAAGTGAGCTATCCGGCAGCCCTCTTTTCTCATTTTTGATTGTCAGTGACCCATACCAGCAAATAAAACAGAAGGTTAAAACAGCCTCAATAAAGCAGGAGTAAATCATTCTCATAAAAGTACTGTCAATGTAAAAATTTCTCAATTTCCGATGAAAGTGCATACATTGGTGGGCTTTGGCACAGACAGCATCAGTGTGGGAGTCAAAAGTGAGTTTTTCATGAATTGTTATTCCTAGGTATTTATACTCCTGTACCACTTCCACAGACTGGCCATCAATAACGGTGGGGGTGTGAGGGGGCGCTGTCTCCTAAAATCAATAATCATCTCTTTTGTTTGAGAGACATTGATGTTTAAAAAGGAATGCTTACACCGTACATTAAAATCATCCACCACTGGCCCATGGTCAGACATGGTCAGCAGTTGCTGATTCTAACAATGTATTAGGTACATAACTACTTTACACATGAAATACACTTAATGAGGACACATTTAACAGCTTATTAAAATCCTTAGATTGCATTTGTGGTTGGAACAAAGACCAGCATACATATTGGGAAACCAAGACCGAGTTTGACAATCAGTATTTTAGTGCAAAGTGCAAACCCCAAATCCATTGAAGTTGGGACATTGTATAAAACTTGAATAAAAATATAATACAATGATTTGGAAATCCTTTTCGACCTATATTCAATTGAGTACACTACAAAGACAAGATATTTAATGTTCAAACTGATAAACTTTATTGCTTTTTTTGGAAATATTCACTCATTTTGAATTTGATGCCTGCAACACGTTCCAAAAAAGCTGGGACGGGGGCAAAAAAAATACTGGGAAAGTTGAGGACTGCACAAAAAACACCTGTTTGGAACATTCCACAGGTGAACAGGTTAATTGGAAAAAGGTGAGTGTCATGATTAGGTATAAAAGGAGCATCCTCGAAAGGCCCAGTCATTCACAAGCAAGGATGGGGCGAGGTTCACCACTTTGTGAACAACTACATGAGCAAATAGTTCAACAGTTTAACAACGTTTCTCAACGTGCAGTCACAAGGAAATTAGGGATTTCATCACTTACAGTCCATAATATCATCAACAGATTCAGAGAATCCGGAAAAATCTCTACACTTAAGCGGCAAGACTGAAAACCAAAATTGAATGCCCGTGACCATCAGTCCCTCAAGTGGCACTGCATTAAAAACCGACTGTAAAGGACATTACCATGTGAGCTCAGGAGCACTTCAGAAAACCAGTGTCAGTGAACAAAATTCGTTGCTACATCTACAAGCGCAAGTTAAAACTCTACCATGCAAAGCGAAAGCCATATATCAACAACACCCAGAAACGCCGCCGACTTCTCTGGGCTTGAGCTCATCTGAAATGGGCTGACGCAAAGTGTGCTGTGGTCTGACGAGTCCACATTTCAAATTGTTTTTGGAAATCATGGACGCCGTGTTCTTGGGGCTAAAGAGGAAAAGGACCATCCAGATTTTTTATCAACGCAAAGTTCAAAAGCCAGCATCTGTGATGGTATGGGGATGTGTTAGTGCCCATGGTATGGGTTACTTGCACATCTGTGAAGGCACATCTGTGAAGGCTGTTCTTTCTCCACTTTCCCTAGCAGAGTCCGAAGGCAAAGAGATGGAGGACCCCGAGCTTGCTTCCCCCCAGAGAGCCTCGCTCTGGCCGCTACTCTACTACGTGACAGCGGCTAATTCCCCTAAGGGTCTTTGTTCTCAAGAAGTCTAAGGTCTTTTGGTTTATTCCTGTAAATAAAATTACTGCCTAGTGGGCTGGACTCTTGCTTACCTGTTGCCCTGTCTATGCCTGCTTTTCTGGTGGTTCGCCACAGTATCTTCTAGTTGAATGCCAGGAGTGTAATTCTTCATGGAAAAGAGTTCTAGAAGTTTGTTGCTGATCCGGAAGTTATACTTGATGTTATTTGTATACAAGAAACATGGTTAAGACTCCACTTAGTCTTTGTCATACAGCTCTGTTAGATATGACAGAATTGAAAAACAAGGCGGGGGATCTGTAACATTCATAAATAATTATTTAGCATATAGAAGACGAAACAAACTGAATGAGTATGAATTTATAGTATTAGAAATGCGTAGTCTCAAGATAGATATCAAATTTGTTACCTTCTGCTGTCACTGCCAGACGTTGTCCACACACACATTTCATTAAATCTCTGAGATTGTTGCAGAAGACGTGGTAGATTTTAATGCTCACAATATTGTTTGGGGAAGTAATCATACAGACACAAATACATAAGTATTTGAAGAACTTATCAAGGAGAGATCACTTTCTTGTCTTAAAGATTGAAGAGGTACCAGGGTTGATGTTCCAGGACATGTACTTTCTTGCTTAGATCTTACTTAAATCTCAGAAAATTTGACTGATCATTGTGAATGAAATGTAAAGAATGATACATACATGGGGAGCAATCACTTTCCAATCTTATGCACTTTAAATTTTGATACGTATTTATTGGAAGGCTATGTAATAGAAAGATGGTGTCAGGGTTTAAAAGTTGCATATATCAATTTTTTAATTTTATGCATTTGTTTTCATCATATTTGGTATTTTCCTGAGTTATTGTATATCTAGCTTAATGTGATCCCATTCACATTCTGTTCCCATTGGCCCTCTGTTTTCTTTTCTTCTCTCAGCACTTACCCTCCCCATGGAGTCATTTAATTGGCTCCTGCTTGTTTACTCATTTGTAACCATCCCTCCCTGCATGTCCTCCTTGCTTCACTCACCTGTTCTCCATGTCATCAGTCACTCTCCTACCCTTTATATTCCACTTCCTCCTCAGCCCTAATTGCAAGTTTTTGGCCAGCTTTCCCTGCATCAACTAAAATCATAGGTTTTTCTTTCCCCTTTATTCAAGAATACTAATGTGACAATTCAAGGATGGGACAGTATCAACATTGCTGTCAATGAAAATATTACATGATACATAAAAAGTCAAAACACAAAAAAATAGAAATACAACAAATAAATAATACTTAAAAAATCAAAAATGAATTATTATTAATAATAATAATAATAATAAATAATAACATAGGGGAAATTGGTGCACCAAGATAGAAATAATTAAATGATGACTCACTTAAAAAGCAAGGCACAGTATGGACAATGGCTTCTTAGATGTTATAACAAAAGGTAATCCTCAAGCTTTTTCAGTAAATTCATGGATTTCAAATTTTTAGCATATTTCAAGGACAATAGAAAGTATTTTAAATCATTTATAAAAACAATGGAATTAGGCTTACAATTTTCCCACTTACATACATGGATATGATATTTTCCCAACAGAAGTACTGAATTCATCAAAGATGATATGTCATTGTTAAGATTGTCCATATAAAATAGTACATCTACAGCGCCCTCCATAATTATTGGCACCCCTGGTTAAGATGTGTTAAAAGCCTTAAAATAAATTAAATTTTTATTGCAGAAGCATACTCTCACACTGAAAATTGTAGAAAAATGTAACCTTCAACTCAAGTGAATTTTAAGGAAAAAAAAATCCCTGACTAAGAAATTATTATTTTTCATAAAATCACCTGTTCCACAATTATTGGCACCCATAACAATTCCTAGGAAATAAATGTAATTGAAGTATTTCTGTCATTTCTACAGTAGTTCACAAAGTTGATCAGAGTATCTAGGAACATTTAATTAGTAATTCATCACTTCCTGTTTCCTGGGGTATAAATATGACGTGACACAGAGGCCATTTCTCTTATCCACTCTTCAACATGGGAAAGACAAAGGAACACACCATTCAAGTAAGGCAGATGTGTGTCGATCTTCACAAGTCAGGCAATGGCTACAAGAAAATAGCCACTCGCCTGCACCTGCCCATATCTACTGTCAGAGGAATCATTAAGAAGTTTAAAACAACTGGAACAGTGGTAAACAAGCCTGGACGAGGACGCAAGGTTATTTTGCCACCACGCACAGTGAGGAGGATAGTAAGAGAAATAAAAAGTTCTCCAAAGCTCACTGTTAAAGAATTGCAACAAATGGTAGCATCTTGGGGTCACAAAGTCTCCAAAACAACCATCAGGCGCTATCTACATGCCAACAAGCTGTTTGGGAGGCATGCACGGAAAAAATCTTTTCTCACTCACAATCATAAACGCAAATGTCTGGAGTTCGCTAAGCGGTACTGCGACTTCAACTGGGACCGTGTGCTTTGGTCAGATGAGACCAAGATAGAGCTTTTTGGCAACAAACACTCTAAGTGGGTCTGGCGGAACACAAACGATGAGTATGCAGAAAAGCACCTCATGCCCACTGTGAAGTATGGGGGAGGATCGGTGATGCTGTGGGCCTGTTTCTCTTCCAGAGGCCCTGGGAACCTTGTTAGGGTGCATGGCATCATGAACGCTTTGAAATACCAGGACATTGTAAATCAAAATCTAGTGGCCGCTGCACGAAAGCTGAAGATGGGTCGTCACTGGGTCTTTCAGCAAGATATACCCTAAACATGAGGCCAAATGTACACAGAAATGGTTCACCAGACACAGAATCAAGCTCCTCCCATGGCCATCTCAGTCCCCAGACCTCAACTCCATTGAAAACCTGTGGAGTGAGCTGAAGAGGAGAGTGCAGAGGAGAGGACCCAGGTCGCTGGATGATTCAGAGAGATTGTGCAAAGAGGAATGGTCGAAGATCCCTCTTTCTGTATTCTCCCATCTTGTGAAACATTATAGGAGAAGATTAGGTGCTGTATAGTTGGCAAAAGGGGGTTGTACAAAGTATTAACATCAGTGGTGCTAATAATTGTGGCACACATGATTTGATGTAAAAGAATTATTTCTTAATGTGGGATTTTTTTCCCACTGAAATAAATGCACTTGAATTAAAGGTTGGATTTTCCTCTTTTTTTCATTGTGGTCCTATATTATTTAGAAAAAAACTGAATTTATTAGAAGCTAAAGAACACACCTTAACCAGGGGTGCCAATAATTATGGAGGGCGCTGTATTAAGCTCAACGT